AGTGTTTTTTGTCACAAAATGCAAGTGTTTTGTGTGAAGGGATTGAATGCAAAAATGCAGTGAATTTGTCAATGAATTACAATTCAAATGATTTGAATTCATGTAAAATAAGTGATAAAATGCTTTCCAATCACAACATCATTAATACACTCAACACTTATCACTATTTTCGCTGTTTTTGGCCTAAATGTCAATATAAGACTCGGTTTGAAAATACATTAATAAATCATAAATGTAATCACACAAATGTAATAAAGTATTTAAAACACAAAATCACTTAAATCGACACAAAAGAGCTGTTCATTTAAATATGAGATATTTATGCGATTGGAGTGAATGTGACAAACAGTTTACACGACATTCATATTTACTTCAACACAAAAATATCGTTCATTTAAATAATTCAAAATACAAATGTAATGAAGAAAAGTGTGGCAAAAGTTTCTCATCAAAATCGGGACTCATTTATCACAAACGCCTTCATTCGGGAGAAAAACCGTTTCGTTGTAATTATAATGATTGCGGCAAACGATTTACAAGAAACTCAGTTTATATGAAACATGTAAAGACAATGCATTTAAATAGAAAAAATGCAAATATCTTAAATGTAATGAATATTATGCAAACATTAATGCATTAAAACAGCATATAATCGATGTTCATATGAAGGGAAAGCCTGTCTACCAGTGCTCGCAACCAAACTGTGAACAAGTGTTTGATCATAAATACAATTTTTATCGACACAACCGTTGCGTTCATTTAAACCAAAAGCCATTCAAATGTGACAAAACCTTTACCGAAAAATCACATCTCGGTAAAAAACACATGAAAATTGTTAATAAAAACATAATTTTTAATAATATGTGATATACTTATATTTAAGAAATAACAAATAATTATCAATAGATTTTAGAACTATTTGACACCAATAATAAAAATAGATTCAATAATTATCGTAAATTAAAATTGTACGAATTTTTTAAAAGTACCATGAGTTATTTTTTTATAACTATAATTTCAATTACAATTATATTTAAAATTTAAAAATAAACAAAATAATTATTGAGAGTTTTTGAAAATTATACAAGTCAATCTAATAAAATACGAAAAAGTAAAATAATTATATAATGTTTTTCGTAAAATCAAATTCATTTATAATAAAAATGTCAAAACTTAAAACACTTTCTTATGATTAGAAACATGATTTAAATGATATGCTATTCATAGGATTACTGATAAATATGTGGCAAATAAATCCCGTTATTTAACAAACATTTTTGAAATCTATTTTTATTTAAATCTTAAATACAATTAATTACATTGATAATTAAAAATTAGTTCAAGTGATGAATAGTATATAAATGTACACCAGACTTAATATTAATATTATATTAATAATATAATCAATGTGCATATCAATACTTTTATGACAATTATTAATATCATAATAAACACTATTTTTGCAAACTAATAGACATTTAATAGTTATACATACATTATTATATAATTATTATTATAATTGTCAAAATTTTATTTTTTATTGTATTATATATAAAGTTTGCATATTATGACGATGTTTACGATATGTTAACAAGCGTATATTTTATATTCAACCGAAAATTATGTCATAAATTTATTTTACTATATAAAATACAAACATCTTAACCGTAACAATGAACTCAAAACATAACGATTTATTGTAACGTAAGACTTTTATAATAAAAATATTGTTAATAGTTTTGTGCAAAAATATTATTTCACAATTTAACACTTAAGGAAAATGAGTTAATAAAAAGTGTTTTGTTTTCATAGCAAATAATTATGTGTTAATTACAGTATAATGACTAAAAAATTGTATGCCTCCCTATTTATATTGTGTTTAATATGTATCACATTATTATTAATTTATGATTTCATTCATTACTTGAAATCCATTGAAAACAATGTTGTGTTTAATAAAGACATTGAAGTGACTATACATACAAGTTATGGTCAATTAAGGGGCGTTCAAAAAGTGGAGTCCGGCTTTCGTTACAACCAGTTTTTGGGTATACCTTATGCCAGAGCGCCGGTAGATAATGTAAATTTTTAATATTATAATTCTAAATATAAATAAATCAGAAATAATTCATATTTTATATTTAAATCCACCTAATACAAATATGTTTATTACAAATAATTGTAATAAACTGTAATTTATAAATCTCATAAAACATATCCATTATTAAAATATAATGACATTTTATAATTTTGATTAATTTTATTTAGAATTACTTTAAAAATTATAATTTATCACTTAATTAAGTACTGTGAAAAAGTATTATACATTATTAAATTTTTGTATAATTTACTAATTAATGTAAATTATTTTTTTCATTTTAGTTAAGATTTAGAAAACCTCAACCCCTGGTAGACAAGTGGTCGGGCGTACGTTCAGCTACTGAATGGCCCCCGTTTTGCACCCAGGTCAACCTACAACAGTACGAGTACTTGACACCAATACTCAACTATAATACCAGTGAAGACTGTTTATACCTAAACGTATGGACACCGGTAGCCGATAACAGCACCCATACATACACATCAACTACCGGTGCCAATAGCTCAGGCCTACCGGTGATGGTGTACATACACGGGGGTGTCTTTGTATATATGGGCACCAGTTTTGATATCTTCAACGGGGGTGTCGTGTCGGCTGCGGGTCGGGTGGTGTTCGTGACCGTCAACTACCGGTTGGGTGTGTTTGGGTTCGCGGATACCGG